CTCTCCAAATCAATGCGTTGCGTTGCCTTGCCATCCACCCCACGCGTGCTCACGCGTGTGGGGCCGTGCGAGTGCTTTGTGCGTCTCACGGACCGACCGACTACATACTGGCTAACTTCACTAACTTCACTAACCTAACGTTAGCTAATTTAAACGTTAACTTACTAGGCAATTCGCAATCCTAACACCACCCAACCCCATCCCCCCAATCACACGCTCGCGGAAACCTCTCCTTTACCTCTGTCTCTACCTCCCCTCTCCAACACCCCCTCCTCTCATCAATCTCCCTATCTACTAACCACATCATACCACTCCGTCCGTCCCTCACCACTCGCACACTCGACTCCCAACACCAAGACGTCAACAAAAAAAAATTTCACTCTTGTCTAGGAATCATACTTCCCCCCTCCTCAGCTCGCTTACACCTCCCCGTCCACTCAAAAAAAGTGCGATAGTTAGCCTCGTGCCTCGACTCGTGTAGCGCAAAAGCGCACCATACTTGCATGCTGTACGACGTGTACGTTTAACAGGGACATATCGCGCGCGCGCGCGCGGGCGGACTTCTGGAATAGAAGCGAGGCGCACCTGGCTTGGCGGGAGGAGGACGTTGTTTCAGGAATGATTTTTTTAATTCATTCATTCATTCATTCATTCATTCGTCCGTTCGTTCGTTCGCGTGCGTGCCTGTGTACACGTTGAAATAGAACCCCTCCCCCCCCAAAAAAGAAGTTATTTACATGCCCACCCACCCATACATACGTGCGTTGCGTTGCGTGCGTGTGCCCAGTTCTAAATAAAAAACTCAACATCTTCATCATACTTCCACCACATCACACATCACCATCTCAAACCCAATATCATATCATATTATAACTACTACCGGTACTAAATATCATCCTTCCTTCCTCCTCCTCCGTTCAATCAACTTTAGGTTAAGGGGAAAAAAGGTGTAGGATTTTTTTTAGCGTATCGATTTATAAATATATGTTTTATTTTATTTGGGTGTAAGAGGTGTGTTTTATTGTTGGGTTAGGTTGAGTTGGGATAGAGGTAGAGGTATGGTGACAGTTTTTTTTTTTTTTATTTTATGGTGATGTAGTTTAGTGTTTCTACTTAAGTTGAACGAAGTTTGTTTGTTTTTTTGTGTAGTTAACGGGGTTGTTTTATATACATATATATATATACACACACATACACACACACATCCATCATACCCACCCCACCCTACACAACCCCAACCTCTAAACCCCCCCCCCCCCCCTTCCCCACTACCTCTCTATATCTACGTACGTACCTACGTACCCAGCACGTTACCAAATCCAAACACACAAACAATATATTTATTAAAAACAACAGTGAAATAACTAGTAGATAACACTTAAGGGGGTGTATATATATATAGTTATGTATGTAGCTTATAAAAAAGATAACTAACCCGGTTCTTTATATAAAAATATTGAAGTATAATAAGGGGGTGGTTGGTAAGGGAAAAGGAAGGGAGGGAGGAGGGAGGGAAGGGTGTATAAGGAAGGTCTGTTGGCTTTTTTGGGAGGTTGTATACATATATATATATATATATATATATATGTATGTATGTGTACGTAGGGAAGGAGTAGGGAAGGAGCAGGGAAGGAGTAACTTGAGCGGTTGAGGCAGATAAGAGTTTCTCGCGCGCGCTGATGATAACTACGCGTAGGATGATGGTGTATGTTCCTTATTGCGGTTTTTTGTTCGTACGCGCGCGCCTAAGGGTAGGTATAGTGTGGGTGGGTAGTGGGTGGGGATAGGTATTGCAATACTGGAGTTATGGTTTAGCTTAAGAGAGAGAGAGAGATAGTGTGTATGTGTGTGTGTGTGTTTGGATGTTTAGGAAAGGATTGTTTTTATAATGTTATATTATAAGGGAGGAAGGGGGTTATATAGTTATGTATAAAGGATTTGTTAAGCTTTCACGCAATGGGATACATAAAGAATAGGTGTGTTATATAATTAAATAATAATATATATATATATATATATATATATATATATATATACTGTTTAATATTCTAACACAAGTGTAGTGTATTATAAAACATAGGGGCATAAAATTGCATGCAGGCAGGTCTAACAAAGACTTAGAGTTTTTTTTTTTAAAAAAGGTTAACCACTACACCATGTACATAATAATCTCCCTCTATCTTAATTCTACATTTATTAGGACGTTGCTTATAGGTTAGTATTTTTATTATATGAGTGACATTTATAGTGGGTGTCATACCTGGACAAAAAAAATGAGCCAAAATGAGAGAAATACCAAAAAGGCGGGCCACCTAGAAACCAAAAGATTAGTATTTTTATAAAAAAGTCTAAATAAGCTTAATTAAATATTGCGTAACCTCCTATTTTAAAGATATAATTAACACATAGTGTATAAAGAGATACTCTAAACAACACTATCTATAATAATAATTCTAAGAAGTAAGGAAAGCGCCTCCTCTTCTATAAAAGAACCTCTAGGCGCATAATATACTATTAAAGAGCGAGCGTCCTAAACTTAAAAGACGCACTACACTAATAAAAAATACTTCTATATCTATAAGGAGTAGAAGCTCTTTATAAGTTTAGACTACGTAAAAGGGCTGCTAAGAAGGCACTTAAGGCTGCCTTCTAGGGTCTAAATGCCTAAAGTAGGATAAAAGAGCTTAATAAGATTCTTGTGTATGCCGCCGTTAGAGCCTAACTAGTATTAATTAGCGCATAGATTATTAATGTAGAAGGAGTTTTAATAAAGAGTGCTAAGGATAATAAGGAAGAAGAGGTAGTAGTAAGGAAGAGTTCCTAATTACAGAGTCTAACAATAAAAAGCACTGCATCTAAGATCCCTAACTATTCTAAAGAATAGGGAAAAACCAAGTCTACGTACCTAGAGAGGAAGAAGGAGATCCTACTTAGGATAAAGAACCTATAATAGAGTTATTAGCTAAGTTAAGCAGGGAAAGGCAAAGCTATAAAAAAATATTATATTAGTAGGAAATAAAGAGGAGAACTAGGAGGAAAAGGTAGGTAGAAAAGAAATATTTAAATACTTATAAATTAAAGGCCTTAGGCAAAAGATATTAAGACTTTATAACCTACAACCTACCTAAATAAGAGAGATTACTTTAAACAGTAGAGAGATTTAAAAGTTATAGCTTTTTATACATCTAAGCTTATCTAGATAAAGTGCTCCAGTCCGCCTATAAGTTTAGGAAACCGTAAAGGTCTTCTAGTAGATTCAACGTAGCTACCCTAACAAGAAGTTCATTATTACTTCTATCTACCTTAAGTTTCTACATTTTATTAAAGGCCGCAACTCACCTAGCAAGAAGAATAAAGTCCTTAAGTTTTAATAGGGGATACCAGCTAACGCTTTACAGCACTAAAATCTAAAATAATACTAGAAAAATAGGAATCTTTAAAGAACACCCTTACTATTATTAACAGCTAGTATAAGTAGTGTGTAGGCCTAAGCTATTACTAAAGCCAGCACTTATTATTATTCTAAACAGAAAGTATAGGTAGAAACACACAAGTAACGCGAGAACCAAAGTCTACTCACTCACTCACTCACTCACTCACTCACTCACTCACTCACTCACTCACTCACTCACTCACTCACTCACTCACTCACTCACTCACTCACTCACTCAC